TAGAACTGGTCCACTAGTATATTTAGCTGTGCGATATCAGTGCTACATAAACATTTGATTAAATTGATTAAGTCCTCAAGGCTCAATCAGACTAACAACTTGTATAAATAAAGGTTGAATTGAAATTACTATTTTAGAGAGCAAGAAGAAAAGCCTACGTGTGAGAATAGTGCAGCACCGATTCTGTCAAGCGTTCTAACCCCCCCCCCCCCACACACACACACACACGTCTGACCCAAACTTTTCTCAACTGAATTCAATCCTGCGTGTTATTGCTCCTGCTGCTCCAATCTCGATTACCACTGTCTTCAGGTGCTTAAATTCTCAGTTGTCCAGCTAAGGACAACCCAACCATCCATCCATGTGATGTAATGTGAATAATACACATTAAAAATTTCTCTCGTATTTATTTATTTTTTTTACTGTAGGCTTTTTAATTTATTATATCTGAAGTGTATGCAGGAGTTCCGATACATCAGCAGTTGTTTGCGCTCTGTAGCTGTCTGGAGACACTCTTGTGCGTAAAATGTGCATTGTCTGCAGGCCGCACAGCTAGGTGGATGACGACACTCATCCCACGGGACATGTGATCCGCGTCTTTACTGGGCAGGAGCATGTGCGCAGGCTGGTGCGCGTAGTGCGGCCGGAACATCCAGTCTACAGACTGAGCAAAGTCTCCTCTCATTGTATTTTTAATAAATAATCAAAATAAAAATGCACAATGATTTTGGACTTTTAGGGGCAAAGATTTGAGTTGCTGGATCCGAGCAAACAGTTGCCAGAATGCAGCCTGTCAAAATGAGAGAGTTCCTGGATCTTGTTCCGGCAGGATCCAGCTCAAATTAACCACTGACACAAAGACAAAAAACAAATAAGAAAAGAATGGCAGAAAAGTGGGAGCAGGGTTAAAAGGGAAAGAAGGAGATAGAAGTAGAGGAGAGAGAGGTATAGAGAGAACATCCTGATGCATGCTCAATAATCCTGGTAGAAAAATCTAAAAAATTAAATCTGGTCCTCTGGACATTCAAAAAAACAAAACAAAGCAAATCAACAAAAAAATGTAGAAACGTTTCGTCTCTCATCCGAGAGACTTCCTCAGTCTGAGGAACTCAACATCAAAAATGTGGGTGGGGTAGGTGAAGAACCCACACCTGCCCCCACCCTCATTCGCCCCACTCTGGGCCCATGAGCAAGGCCCTTAACCCCTATCTGCTCCCTAAAAACAGGTCTCTCTTGAAAATGAGTTCTAGTGGATCAATGAGACTACCTGTATAAATAAAGGGTAAATGAAAAAAAAACAAAAAACTGGAGACCTGTCCAGGTGTCTCTGTGATGGACTGGATGGTCCAGCAGGGTAGGTGTGATTGCTTCCTCTGAAATCCACAATCATCTCCTTCTTCTTCACAAGGTGAAGGTTGTTCTTCCTGCACCAGCTCTCCAGGTATTCCATCTCTTGTCTGTACTCAGACTCATCACAGTTTGTGATGCATTCTACCACCGCTGTATCGTCAAACTTTACAATATGACAGCCTGGATGGGCAGGTGCAGAGTCATATGAGAAGAGTGAACAGGAGGGGGCTCAACACACATCCCTGAGGGGAGCCAGTGCTGATGATTATGTTGAAGGAGGAGAAGTTGTGGATTCTCACAGACTGTGGCCTGTTGGTTAAGAAAACCAGGATCCAGTTGCATAAAGAGGGGCTTAGTCATAGTGTGAGTACCAGTAGTTTATATATCAGGGCCTGGGGAATCAGGGTGTTGAAGGTGGATTTGAAGTCCACAAAGAGCATATAGACACAGGAGTCTTTCTGCTCTAGATGGGTGAGAGCAATGTGGACCACAGAGGAGATGGCCTCTTCTGTTGATCGATTCTTGGTGTGGGTCTGGAATGTTTCTGCGGGGGGTGGTAGACAGGGGCCCGAAAAATGGAGACATGGTCAGAGAGGCCAAGGTGGGGGTATGGTACGGCTCTACAGGTCCTTCTAAAAAAATTAGCATATTGTGATAAAGGTCATTATTTTCCATAATGTAATGATAAAAATGAAACTTTCATATATTTCAGATTCATTGCCCACCAACTGAAATATTTCAGGTCTTTAATTGTTTTAATACTGATGATTATGGCATACAGCTTATGAAAACCCAAAATGCCTGTCCCAAAAAATTAGCATATCATGAAAAGGTTCTCTAAACAAGATATTAACCTAACCATCTGAATCAACGACGTAACTCTAAACACCTGCAAAAGATTCCTGAGGCTTTTAAAAACTCCCAGCCTTGTTCATTACTCAAAACCGCAATCATGGGTAAGACTGCTGACCTGACTGCTGTCCAGAAGGCCATCATTGACACCCTCAAGCAAGAGGGTAAGACACAGAAATAAATTGCTGAACAAATAGGCTGTTCCCAGAGTGCTGTATCAAGGCACCTCAGTGGGAAGTCTGTGGGAAGAGAAAAGTGTGGCAGAAAACGCTGTACAACAAGAAGAGGTGACCGGACCCTGAGGAGGATTGTAGAGAAGGGCCGATTCCAGACCTTGGGGGACCTGCGGAAGCAGTGGACTGAGTCTGGAGTAGAAACATCCAGAGCCACCGTGCACAGGCGTGTGCAGGAAATGGGCTACAGGTGCCGCATTCCCCAGGTCAAGCCACTTTTGAACCAGAAACAGCGGCAGAAGCGCCTGACCTGGGCTACAGAGAAGCAGCACTGGACTGCTGCTCAGTGGTCCAAAGTACTTTTTTCGGATGAAAGCAAATTTTGCATGTCATTCGGAAATCAAGGTGCCAGAGTCTGGAGGAAGACTGGGGAGAAGGAAATGCCAAAATGCCAGAAGTCCAGTGTGAAGCACCCACAGTCAGTGATGGTCTGGGGTGCCATGTCAGCTGCTGGTGTTGGTCCACTGTGTTTTATCAAGGGCAGGGTCAATGCAGCTAGCTATCAGGAGATTTTGGAGCACTTCATGCTTCCATCTGCTGAAAAGCTTTATGGAGATGAAGATTTCATTTTTCAGCACGACCTGGCACCTGCTCACAGTGCCAAAACCACTGGTAAATGGTTTACTGACCATGGTATTACTGTGCTCAATTGGCCTGCCAACTCTCCTGACCTGGACCCCATAGAGAACCTATGGGATATTGTGAAGAGAAAGTTGAGAGACGCAAGACCCAACACTCTGGATGAGCTTAAGGCAGCTATCGAAGCATCCTGGGCCTCCATAACACCTCAGCAGTGCCACAGGCTGATTGCCTCCATGCCACGCCGCAGTGAAGCAGTCATTCATGCAAAAGGATTCCCGACCAATTATTGAGTGCATAACTGAACATGATTATTTTTGAAGGTTGGTGTTTTTTGTATTTAAAACACTTGTCTTTCATTGGTGGGATGAAATATGCTAATTTTTTGGGACAGGCATTTTGGGTTTTCATGACCTGTATGCCATAATCATCAGTATTAAAACAATTAAAGACCTGAAATATTTCAGTTGGTGTGCAATGAATCTGAAATATATGAAAGTTTCATTTTTATCATTACATTATGGAAAATAATGACCTTTATCACAATATGCTAATTTTTTTAGAAGGACCTGTATATGCATTGTTTATGTTTGCATAAACACGGTCTATTGTGTTGTTTTCTCATGACGGTATGATCACATACCGATAGAATCTTGGCACAGTGTCTTTTAGGTTTATGTGGTTAAAGTCACCAGCCACAACATAAAAAGTCTCTGGATGTTTGTTTTGAAGTGACCTGATGTTATCACTCAACTCCCTCAGTGTGTCTTTAGCATTAGTACCTGGTGCTATATAAACACCAATGATATACCTGGTACCTGGATGACTGAGCATGAACATTGTTACCAATGATATACATTGCTGTAAACTCACAAGGTAAATGATGTGGCCAACATTTCATAGTCAGTTGTTCTACAGCCTCAGAGCAGGTACCGTACATCAGAATATAATTTGTGCACTACACATAAGCTGCCACCTAGGGCCTTCACTCAAAAATGAAACATGCACTGCTGAGTTGGATTACATTTAGGAGTATCGCAAATGGGACTTTATACACCCATCAACAAGCTTTTATATGGTAATCTATGTTAATGACCCAGATAAGGAAAGAACTTGTATAACATTTGACCTTGATTTGTGACCTTGACCTCAGAACTGAGTTGGTTCATGAAAAGATTGTGGTATAAATGTGTAAGAAGTTTCATTAAATTATCTTAAGCAGATCAAAAGTTATGGTGCAGAGATGATAAAATTTACAGAGACTATACCAAAACACAAAGCAGGTGTGTTGTGTTGTACCTTCTCCTGCAGCCTCTCCAGCATCGCAGCAAGAAGGGCCTCCCTGTTTTCTTTGTTGGCCTCCATCTTCTGCTCCAGCTTCTCCTTGGCGTTCTTGATGAAGTTGTTGTTCTCTTCAAAAGCCTTCTGGATCACTTCACGCTCATGTTCCCTCTTCTCAGCCAAGTGCTTCAGCAGTTCAGCCTCTTGACACTAGGGGGAGACAGAGGAAGTTCAAGATTTTTTTTGCTCTTATTTTTAAAAACCATTTAAATTTCAGATGACTATATAGTTGTTTAGGGGTTATTGTTCATGATTTTGTCACAAGCAACACACACCATATTAAAAAACAAACATTTTAGCCCAAATACAGCAACTTAAACTTTAATTATACTTGAAACATGGATCACAGCTGACATTTAATGGTGTTGAGTGGTTGATTGTTAGGTTACACCCTCTTGATTTGCAGCTCGTTCATTCTAACTTTGTTCAGGACAAATGAGCAGCTGATCAAAGCAATGTAGCCCCCATGATTGGGAACATAATGTACGAGCCCAGGTGCTTGTGTGTGGTTAGAGAAATGTCTTAGTTTGCCTGAATCAGGTGGATTATATCCTCTTTTTTTGTATTTGGAGGAAAACTGGAAGTGGGGGCCTGTAGACCATTGAATACAACAAAAGATTGCATAAAAATGTGTTTTTGTGAAATTTGTTTTCATCAAAAGGACTGACTGATGAATGCTGTCACTGATCTGAAGACAAAGCTCCAGCTTGAACTGCAGTGCGGGTTTGGAAAACTTATATGTATTCTACAAATCTGAGCCAAAATATGTTTTGCCGGTCCCTCATTTAATTTCTTTGGAGAATAGGATTTATTATGTTTGTCATCACGTGGGCGTTTTTGTACTTTCTTTCAAATAGTCATTGCTTTCTTTCCATTCCTCCAGCACTTCCGCACGTTTTTCATTTATCGTTTTTTTTCTCCCTTTTCGGCTGATAAACCACCCAGAATCCAACTGTGTGGACAGGTGTCTGGCTGAGCTACAGATACTCAGGCACTGGTTTCAGAAGCATTTGCAATGTGGGATGTGTGTGTGGGGGGGGGGAGACATTGGTGGGAGTAATTTTGAATAAAGTAGACGCCATTTCCTGCATTCTGGTGTATTTTTACGGGTTATTAAACATCTATATTTAACTAGATAAGTAAATACTTGATTCCATAACTATTTTAGCAAGAAGTAGCCTGACCAACAGGTCTCCTTGTTTTACTAGAACATGCTCTGCTTCTCTCATGCATCCTAACACCCCCCCCCCCCCCACACACACACACACACACACACCGGGTAGACAACTGCCAGCACAGCCAATCTTTCCAAACCCGACCCGATCATTTAACTGTAATTACAGGCCAGAGCCCGAAAAAAATAAAATAAAATAAAATTTAATTAAGCTTTTACTGCTTTTGTAAGCAAATCAGTTTGACATGATATTTTAAAAACGTATTTCTAAGAAAGGAAGATATAAGATTTCTTGTTTCACCAAATGGATATTAACATACAAAACAAATAACCCTAAAAAATAAACTCTGAAGATAGGCTGTTATACAGATGAACAAAAATATTTTTAGAGCTAAATTATTTGGAAAAATATTGAACAAGGCTATTTTAATTGAATATGTTGCTCACTTCAGCTTTTGTAGATGCTGCTACTTCCTTCACTGCAGATGACAGCGGGTGCCGAGATGCGTGCGGCCAGTGATCAGCTGATCAATCTGAAACTTAACGTGACTTTTTTTTTTTTTTTTTTTACATCTTTCAACCAGCCAGTTGGACCTGCCTCCTCAACAAGTAGATTAACACTATTTTATATTGTGCATTCTTATTTAGTTTTCTTTGTGCTGCATGATTCGTAAAACTGCATCAAAAGCCAGAGACAGACCCGGCCCACCCATCAAGCACATTATTTTGGCCCAACCTTGCACGAAGTTTGGGCAGAGCCGGGCCCGGGTTAGAAATCTCAACTCTAATCCTAACACCCCCGGGTCAACAACTGCCGGTGCCAACTTAGCACTAAGCTAGCGAGCAACACAGATGTGTCTCCTCCCCCCATCCCATCTACCTAAAACCCTGAAGAGATGAATGCTCTGCCAAGGCAAGAGAAACTGCATACAGTGTGGTGAGTTGTTGTAACCAGGAAAACCTGGTGTGGAGTTTTATTGGTTTCAGTGTTCTCCTATCAATCAAGTGGAATGGATTTGTTCACAAAAAATAGAAACAGTGCTGGGTGAATTCATATTTCATGGTAAATGTGGGCAGGGGGGGTCCAAACAAATATTTTTTAAATGTGAGGGGAACACGCCCTCCTCACCTTCCGTCTCTCCTCGGCAGCCTCCAGCTTCTTTTGGATCTCCTCCAGGGATGGGTCGCGGCGCTGTGGCATGGTGGTGTTGAGTTCTGGCACGCCATCAAAGGAAGGGGGCTTGAGGATGACCTCAAAGGCCTGGCCCGATGTCCGCTTGTTTATCTCGATCACCTCCACGTCTTTGATGGCGCACCAACCCAGGTCCACAGCATCTGTGGTGTTGGATCACAGCTGGGATGAAATAATTAGCTGATTATGAACATTTGAAGGTGTTCACTGTATTTTCTGGCTTGTCCAGCCCTACAAAAATGATTTAATCCAATTCTTTGCTTAGCTAAAATGAAATATATATTCTGTAATGACCTTTAATATTGACTCTAAGTGTTGAGGGTTTGACTTTTACCTTCTACTTTGTAAGTAGCTTTTTCTGCAGCTTGTGGCCTCAGGCAGGAGCAGAACAGAGACACCAGGGGGAGTTCTTTCACCTTTTCTTTATAGGCTGAGGAGAAAAAACATTTCTCAGACTGAAGCAGAATAACAGTTCTATGAAGATAAATTAGTCTTAAACGTAGCAACACAAGCGTACAATCCAGCTGACATGAGCAGGTTTTCCTTATACTGGAAAAATATATATTTTTGGTAGTTTTTCAGACAAGAAGAATACTCTACCCATTTTTTTACGTTTATTTCATCCATACAGTCCACAAAATTAACATTTTCTTGTGGAAAACACTAGCTGGTAAATATCCTGATGCATGCTCAATAATCCAGGTGGAAAAATCTAAAAAAGTTAAGTCTGGTCCTCTGGACATTCAAAAAAACAAAACAAACAACAACAACAACCAAAAAAGTAGAAACGTTTCGTCTTTCATCCAAAAGTTGTTTTGTTTTTGAATGTCCAGAGGACCAGACTTAACTTTTTTAGATAGCTGGTAAATAAATTTTGCTGGTAATATATTTTTAACCTGGTAGATTTCCCACATGAAGAATAATCTGTTCTATTTCGTATAGGCTTTGCCCTTTAAGGCTATCGCTAGTGGGTTTATCCCTACGTGTGCAGCGCAGCACTGAAAACTTTAGTCCACACCCACCTACTGTGTGGGCCTCATCCCCAGTCTGTATAAATTACAGTGAGACCGGGTAATCGACTCCAATTTTTTCTTCAGCCAGCTAGCAAACACTGTCAGAAGAACGAAGAAGGAAAGTTGTCAAGCTTTGACCGGCACAACCTTTTGCTAAGGATGCTTGGGTCTCTGCCACGCCAACCTCCTGCTGTCCCGGTGAGCTCTTCCTCCCCGAGGAGAAGCAGAGGAGAGCAGCTTTGTTCAAGGTAAGTGCCGAGGAGTGCTTTTCCGTGGCGGGCAGCTACCCGCTGGATGACGCCATCGCCGTTTCTAACGTTTTTTTCCTTGTGGTAATGGAATGATTTCCTTGAAAAAGGCGATGTTAGCAGCAGCCCTGCTGAATGTTTTTTCATTGAGGGCCGCTACTCACTTGATGATGCCACTGCCTTTTCTAACGTGTTTTTTTTCTCGAGGTGAATCGGATGATTCCCTCGAAAAAGATGTTGTTGGCAGCAGCTCCGCTGAGTGTTTTTTCTGTGGCGGGACGCTATGAGGGGGACGACGCCACCGCCTTCTTTGACACAGAGTCACGCAGTGAATCGAATGATTTCTCAGAGGAAGGTGATGTGGAGCTTTCCCCTCCTTCCTGGAGAGCGTAGTGACAGAAGACGAGCGGCCGAGCGGATGCTCAGCCACCTCGGATCTTCCCATGTCGGTGACTACACCACTCGCAGCCGTCGGTGCCCTCCTCTCGGGGCTGCCCGGCTTAATCTAGGAGGATGCTAACACAAGGGACTTTCTGTCCCTCGCCTCCCTCCGCCCTGATTGAATGATCTGGCAGCAAGGTTGGCTCCGCCCCGGCCCGTCGCCCTGACCCCATCTGGCCTCGCTGTCCAGCTGTGACATCACACTGGAACGAGGCTGCAGCTGGGCCCGGCAAGCTGAAGACATCCGTCTCCACCTTCGCCTCCATCTCCAGAGTAGAGGGTTTTACCGATCAGTGTTTTTTCCCTCGGTCCCCACCCCGGAGCCAAGCCTGGCAGAGGCACTTGGGGTAAAAGCTTCCAGGATGGATCAGCAACCTGTCCCTCCAGGGAAGCATGACCAGATGGTGACAAGGTCTCTAACCGAGCTCACCAGTGCTCATTCCAGACGGCGCAGCCAACAACAACGTCGGTCTGCTGGCCTACAGCATCTCTGAGAGGCTGGAGGAAGCAGACCTGCTGGAGGAGACAAAGAGCTCTCTCTGTAAAGCTGCTGACATCATCTTAAACATGTGCCACCTCTGCGGTCTGCCTGTCCCGCATCGCCGCCTGGATGACCATGATCCAGAGGACCACTTGTTTCCGCCTCTTGCCATCCTTGTCCGAGAGGCTGCAGAAAGACCTGCTGAAGGGCCCCTTCACCCCAGAGGTGCTGTTCGGGGCCAACTTCAGGACCATCCTTGAGAAATCGCAGAGGTCCGAGGAGGTCTCAGAGACTGTACACCATCTGGTGACATCACAGTCCTCCTCTCACCCCTCCAGCCGCTGGAGGGACCGCCTTGACCAGCAACAGCAGCAGAGGTGCTCCACAGCCATGGCAGCGACTTCACGCCCCGCTCCTCTGCCAGCCCCCTCCACCATGTAACAGATCCTTGAGGGGAAGGTATTTGTTTTTTGATGATGTATGTTTTTGATATAAAACAGAAACACCTCTGAAAGTAAAGTTTTCATCTGAGACTGCCCGATCAGCTGATCTCACAGCTGCCTCTCTTCACACATTCCCCACACAGAACGAGCCAGTAACCTCTAAACAGCGTTTTAGATGGCACCGCAGTTCAATAAATATCACAAAACACTCGTCTGCCACATCAGTTGAAATTATGTTTTTTCAGCAGACCGAGTCCGGTAAAATCCCTCGTTTTTCAGCCAGAGCCCATTTTTAATTTCTGCTGTTTTCTGCCCATTCACAGCGCAGCGGGAGTAAACGTGTTTCTCCATGACAGCTGCAGCCTCCACCGAAACGGCGTCTCACTCAGAAAGAGCTCACGCCTCCTCTCAGTGCACGCTGGCTCACCTCAGCTCTATGTGAGACCGCAGCCTGGGCTCAGCACAAAGGCACACATACAGCCCTTTTTTCTGTCGGAGCCCTCCTTGGGTTCCCCCCGGAGAAGCTCTGGAGTGAGTGATGGCAGTAAGTATTGTTAGTCTGGTTGACGTTCATGAGAAACATGACACAACACAAATGCGTGCCCACTCTCCGAGCGTTACTCAGAGTGGCACCGAGTGTGTTCCCTGGACAGATGGATAGACCGTCTGATCAGCAGGGGTTACACGCTGCAGTTCACAGCTCAACTCCCACCGTTCAGAGGGATTATAGAGATGGTTCTGTCTTCTCCAGAACAGAGCTCGTCTCTCCAGTCAGAAGTTCAAGAATTTCTGACGAAAAAGGTGATTTCCAGAATTCCCAACTCAGAGAAAATATGTTTTTTTTTTCCCTCCCACTACTTCCTGTTTCTGATAAAAAAATTGGAGGGATGAGACCCATTCTCATCCTGTTCATGTTCAGCGATTCGATCACGGGGAGACAATTCCACATGCTGACAAACAGCAGCTGGAGAACTTCACCAGAACGACTGGTTTTCACCTCTATAGATCTGAAGAGTGCATATTTTCACATTTCCATCATTCTGAAACACCCCACGCATGTTCTCGAAAATGCGTGGAGATGGCTCTGCAGTCATTACACATGACAAGAATGAGAAATCTTTTTATCTGGACGACCTGCTCTTATTAGCTTGGTCCAATTAGAAAGCAGTCGCACAGACCAAAACGCTAGTGTTACACCTGCTAAACCTGGGGTTTCTATAAACTGGGAAAAACTTCAGTTCGTCCGTCCCAGATGATTGTTTATCTGGAAGTGGAGCTAAACTCAACTACAATGAGAGCCTGTTTATCACAGCTGAGAGCCAAAGCTCTATCAGCTCAGCTCCGCCATGTCAAACCCAGCTCCGCCGTGTCAAACCCTGCAGCAGAGTGACAGTTCTGCCTGTCATGCGACTCCTGGGACGATGTCAGTGGCCCACAATGTGGTTCCACTGGGCCTACTTCACATGAGACTCCTTCAGAGATGGTTCGCCCGCCTGCGCATAGATCCTCTGCGCCAGAGGAGATGGATTATCTTTGTGCCCCCCTCCGTGAGAACCAATCTGAATCACTGGGGAAACCCTCTCATTTTGTCAGAGGGAGTTCCCATCCACAGGTCTACGTCACACGTCTCTGTAGGGATGGCGCCATCTAGTGGGCCTTCCCCTGTCTATTCTCCCTTGTGTCTCTGTATTGATTGTCTGATTATCATCACCTGTGCCATGTCCTGTTTGTGTATATAAAGTCTGTCTGTTAGTCCTGTCGGTGTCGGTTCGTCATTGGGTATTGCCTGTCCTGTCCTGCCTGTCTGATCCTGTTTAATCCTGTTCCTGAATCTGTTTTTGTAAGTTTTTGCTGCCATGTCAGCCTTTTTGATTTATTATTATTAAAAGTATTTTATTTTACGCCTGTCTCCTGAGTCCTGCCTGCGCAACTGGGTTCTCCTATCCTGATCTGCATTGAAACCCTGACAGTCTCAATTTTCACAGATGCATTCCTGTCAAGCTGGGAGGAATGTGTCTGTCCCAAGCAGTTTGGAGCACAGTAGCTGGACCACGTCACTTCACATAAATATGCTAGAATGTTTTCACGGTCTGAAACATGACTCAGCATTTTGCCCCTGCTGTGGGATCAGCATGCTCTGATCCACACAGACAACAAGGTGACGGCAGTTTACTTAAACTGTCAGGGAGACGTGCGCTCAGCCCAACTGTTACGCATCACGAAACAACTGTTGTGTTGACCACCCAAAAATCTGCTCTCCATCAGAGCAGTGTACATTCCCAGCGTCCTGAACAGGCGAGCGGATATTATGTCGAGGGGCGATCCCTGCCACAGAGACTGGAGCCTCCATCCCGAGCTGATTTCTCGGATTTGGAACAGGTTTGGCCGAGCAGCAGTGAATCTGTCCGCCACACGGAAGAACGCCCAGTGTCAATTATGGTTCTCAATGAGCCCACGAGACGACCCACCGTTAGGAGTGGACGCCTTCGCTCACAGCCCGTGGCCAAAAATGCTCCTTTATGCGTTCCCTCCAGTCCTGCCGATATCACGGACCCTGGACCGAGTCCGGGAGGAAGAACCGTCAGTCATCCTCATAGCTCCCGAACGCATATGCACTCCCGAATCTGCAGCGACTGATATCGGGATGGCCGTGGAAACTGCTGGTGTGTGTGTGTGTGTGTGTGGGGGGGGGGGGGGGGGTAGCTCTCCTCCAGGCAGGAAGAGCGATCAGGAGTTACCCAGAAATAGGTCAGCATCTTTGGGTCTGTCCGCTGAACAGATCCGTTTAGAAAAGATGGGCCTAG